GAAAATTTATTTATTTATGGGAAAAAGAAATAATACTTAAAAATTAATATAAAAATAATGCAAATAAATTTCAGTTCATTGAAAAAGCGAATTCCCGGGATGTAACGATAGGACCACGTTTATTCCTCCAATGTCCATTAAGTGTTGTAGAATCACGCGAATGGTTTATCAAATTATGGAATCAAATGATAATCCCATATATGATTAAAGTAGCTAAAGAAGGTATTATTATTGTATATTAATATGATAAATTTTGATACGAATAAAATGTAACCTTAAATTTTTACAATTCTAATTAAGCATTATTAGCTTTTTGGAAGCTTTCCTTTTGTATGCTAACTTAACTAAAAACCTGAAATATAAAAATATGAAGTTTGGTATACGGAAGAGAGTGTAAAAGGAGAGGAGGAGAAAGTAGTAAGGAGGTGGGCATTGAGGCGCTTGTGACAGTTGACAGGCAAAACGGAAAGCTAAATTGTTGAAAGCTTCATAGCTCAGCTTAATAGTAAGCTTATAGAAGATAGGAGAGGAGGGTCCCCCTCCTATCCCCCTTCAACCACATTACACATTATTTTTCTGCAATGCAGTACTTGCCCTTCCCTTGCCAAGCTTTTTCCTCTTCCTTTTCTCTCTATTATCCACTCTATCTACATTGAATTTGCGGAATTCATAAATGTCCTTCCTAATAATTCTTTTGTATACAAATTCTCATCTCATCTCTTCCTTTCCCTCCTTCTCTCTCTTTCTCTTCCCTTTTTTTTTCGCTTCTCTTTCTCTTTCCGCTTTTGAGTTCAAATTACCTGTTTCATTTCTAGCTTCTATTTCAACAAAAAAAAAAAAGAAAAGAAAGAAGAAAAGAACGTATCATCAAGAAAAGGAGCATCTTTCCGTGTTTCATTACGTTTCTTTCTTTCTTCCATATGTGAAATGACTATGCTAATCTAAGTATTCGAACTTATTCAGAGGAATGCTTCTCACATTTCTTGAAACGCACGCAATAGAAGTATTACGTATTTCTACAGAAATGACCTGGGAAATACCGGGAAATCGTATAAATATTCCAGATCATATT